GGGGTTTCAACCCCAAAATCACACCTGGCTCCCAAAAGGAGGGGGGATTTTACCTCAAAAATCACACCTTGCACTCAAAATGGGAATTTTTCACCCCAAAAATCACACCTGGCTCACAAAATGAGGGGGTTTTACCTCAAAAATGACACCTTGCACTCAAAATGGGAATTTTTCACCCCAAAAATCACACCTGGTTCACAACATGGGGTTTTTTTGGGGGTGGTTTCAATGCCCGGAGCTGCCATCAGAACTTAACATTTCTAATGTCCCCGTTTTCCTCAACTTTGGGTCCCTCCCTTTTGCTCCTTCCTTGGCTTCGTCTCTGCCCTCGTGGCGTCTACGCAGGTGTAAATATCAACACATGGGATTAGAAACTCAGCCTCCTATTGGCTGAGAGACGCTCCCCCGACGCTTCCCATTGGCTGAGCGCTCCGACCAATGAGAACGGAGCTTTTCGATCCGCTCTCCAGCCCTCAAGGTTCTTCCTCCCATCGCGCTCCATTTGGGCCCATTAACAACGTGGGGTTTTTGGGGGGGAGGGAAACAAACACCCCTTGTTTTTAGTTGTTTGGGGTTGGTTTTTTTTTTTGCCGTTTTGCCCTCATTTCAAGTGCAGGGGGAGGGGTTGGAAGCGTCTTTTGATTTCCTTGGGGAAGGGTTTGTGGTTTTCCTGGGGAGGAACCAAACTTGATGAACTTGAGGCTCAGTGACCCCCCCCCCCCCGTGGATTTTCCAGCTCAGCCTGGGAATATTCAACATGTTCTACTGTTTTATCCCCAAAACTACCACAAATGACCCCAAACTCACACTGAATCCCACCCCAAAACCTCTATGAATGCTCCCAAACTACTCTCACTCCCTCCCAAACCACTACAAAGGTCCTCAAACCCCACACTAGAACCCAACAAAACCACCACAAATGCCCCCAAAGGCACCAAAACCCACCCAAAAATCACCCTGAACCCCCCAAAACCACCTTGAATGCCCCCAAAACCCACCACAAATCCCCCAAGAAGGAGCCTGAACCTCCCAAACACCTTGAATGCCCCCAAACTACCCTGAACCTCCCCAAAACCACCTTGAACCCCCCCAAAACCACCTGGAATTCCCCCAAACCCACCCTGAACCCACAGAAACCACCTTGAATACCCCCAAAAACCACCCTGAACCCCACCCAAAGCACCACAAATCCCCCTAAAACCCACCCTGAACTCTCATTTTTCACCTATTATTATTATACCTCAGAAAAGGGAGAAGAAATAAAGAAAAAGTGACCCAGAGCAGTTTTGCCCCGTGGGAAGAAAAGGCCCCACACTCCAAGGCTGGGGTTGTGGGTTTTTTTGCTCATTTAATGCATTTTGTGGGGTTTTTTTCCCCCCTCCCCACCACTTTGTTTCTCTATAACACCCTGAACAGGAGAGCAGGGAGAAAAATCTGTGTCTGCAGCTGCTCTTCAACAGAAATCCAGAAAAAAACTCCTTAAACATAAAGAAAACTGCTCCAAAATAAGGATTTTGCTGCCTCCCAGGAAGGCTTTGCCAGCAAATTTGTCTCTTTGCTTAAGATTTGTAGAGAAATCCTGAAAAAAAAAACGGGCTAAAACCATTTCTGGTGCCTCCTGGGACGGTTCAGGTCGGGGTTTTGCAATCGCTGCCTTTGAAGGGGGGGAGAGGCCACGGGAGGGGGTTTATTCCCCCGTTTCACCGCCTAGGAGCGAAGAGGAGATGAAAAATAAGGAAAGCAGCACCTTGAGAAAAGCAGGGAAGCGTTTTAAGGGTTAAAGCACCTACTGAAAAGCCGTTACCAGGTTCCTCCCCCGCTGCCAGAGTCGCCTCCAGCTCCAAAGACAAGACATCAGCTCCAGGAAGAAGTGAAACCACCAGGAGAAGCAGCTGCTTTCATCTTCGACTTTAAATAAAAGCTCCCAGATCCGCTGCTAAACCCTAATTACAGCCCAGCTTGTAATTAAGTCATTTCCCCGCTGGGTTCACAGCGAGGTCACGTCGACCTGGGAACACAAGAACTTGTTGCAGCACAAGATCGTGTTTCAGGTGTAAAACCCAACGTGTCTTCACAGCATCTCGCTCCAATGAGCCTGTTTCTTCTGCTTTTCATCCAAAAAGCTTGAATTATAAACACCACACAAAAACAATCAAGCCCAAACAACAACAAAAAGTCCACTTTTTGAGTTTTCCAGCAAGAATTGCTTCTCCAACACCGGGAAAGGAGGGGGGGGGAGGGAGGGAAAATCAATGTCTTCTCATACGAAGGCACCTGACGAGACTCACATCAGCCGCCTGGACAGCGGCTCG